TCTTGCTCTGAAGCCTGTTACAGTTAAATTGAAGGAGCTTCATGTTGTTAGGGAGACGTGTGGGGATGCGGGGTGTGAAAGATGTGTGTGGCCGTGACACCATTGGCTGTGTACGCTGCTGAGGTGGTTGCCGCCTTGGAGGTGGTGGGTGACGTCGCAGTTGAGGTTTCCGACCGTGCAGCGCAACACGGGCCCTCGAAGTTCCTCGTCCAATCTTGCGTGGTGCGCAGACCTGAACATGCCCTAAAGTGGCACCAGCCAAGGCAGGTGTTGCACTTGACTGATGTCACATTACGGAATATCCTGGTCTGANTGTTGGCGGCGGCGTGTGGGTATGGGTGCGGTTATGTGTGTTCTGTGGTCTGTCGTGGTGGTGATGTGTTCCACTGCCGATGTGTTCGTAATCCTGAGCAGACTCTGAGATGACTCCACCCCTCGCAAGCATTACACTTGACTAAGGTGGAGTTGTGGTGTAGTCGTCTCTGGCACACACAGCTGGTGTAGGTTTCTGGCCCTGGGTTTGACTCGATGCCAGCCCTGAGCAGAAGAATACGTAGCGAATGTAGCCCTATGGACGAGCAACTTCTGAGATACTTCGCCGACCTAAACGGGGTTAGATCGCCGAAATAACAGCCCTGCAGTGTTTAGCTCATTAGTGTAATAAAGTGAAACTTTGAAGAAGCTCCTCACACACATTGCTTGTCAAAAATCATCGAAATTGAAAGCCATTACGTTCAATTTGAGAAGCAATTTCATTATCACCATGCCGTCTTCAAGAAAACAATGTAAGGAATTAGCTTCTGAAGACCATTTTCCATTTTAATTCCATTGAAGGTTAACATTTTAGCATGCATAAGTTTATTATTTTTTTATTTTTACGAATGCCAATGTTGAAAAGCTGTTCAAATTTGAAACTCAATTGAAAGGGAAAAAGAGGTTATGCATAATAGCTCTGATCCAGTACTCCATGAACTTACAGGTTTTTACACGAACTTGCAGGAAGTTACAGGAAAAATGATCCCGTACTCCAAACTCCTCCAAGATCCTGTAAATGAGAGCGATTTTTGGAGAGTTGGGTAGAGAATGAAGATTTTTTTTGGTAAAATCATGAAAAGTTTCAAGCGATCACTGGTTGACGTTTTTACATGAAAAATGCTTTTTTTGTTCCCGTACTTTTTGTTGTTACATACTTACTTTTTACTCTCACTTCAGAGAGTAATTTTGGTGTTTGACATTTTTACAGGATTTTACACGAAAAGTATTGGCTCAGGGCTAATGTAATAAACAAAGTGAAATCAATATATGATGTACGCTTATTTGCAAATTTATATGTAAAAAAATCATATATTTGTCTACATTAACCCTCTTATTGACCCTCTTTTGGCTTTTTTTTATATATGGCACGATAACCTCCTACTCGTACATAATCTCAAAGTGTACAAAACAGATACGCTATGTATGTATTTATGCGAATGCATTATGGTTTAGCGAATTAAAATACAATTTCTTTACTTGCTAGGTCACGCCGTCCTTAAAGATAACAATTCCATAGCCCTGAAGTACTGGATTCTGCTTGCGTTGGTAGGAGAAGACCAAATGGAGTTTGAGTTCGCAGGTGTTCAATGTTAGTAGAGATCTAATATTGATTTCCTTTTAAGTCGCTGAAATGATACTATATGAGAAATTAGTATAAACATAAGAGGATCATGCACTTTTTGTTGGTGCGCCAAGGCGTACTTTTTTATTTAAGAACCACCAGTAGGGATCACGGTCACGGTGTATTTGGTTGCTTGTGACATAAAACGGAGCGGACAGTTATTTTAAGATTAATTGCAATCTTGGGAGTTTGTATATTGGAGGTTGCTGCAGAGCCCCATAATAGGTACGCGCGTTTAAAATCTCCAGTAAAAAACATCAGCAGCAAAATTCCGGCGAAATGTCATCTGTTCTCTCATAAGAGAAATATATAAGTTGCGTTCGATAGAAAAAATTAGCCAACACCAGCCAACAATCAAAATCAAGAGAGTAAGCGAAAATTCTCTCCCAAAGGGATTAAAAAGCAAAAAAGTAAACGAACAGGAAATTAGCCATCACTTGCAAAAACCGGAAGAAGAAGACACACCAGCTGACTTTGTTTATGTTTTATTTGTAAACAAACTGAAATTCATGTTGCCTCCATAGAAGAATAAAGGAAAGTGAACGTTCAATGTTCGCCAGGACTATTTCTAGAAGTAAAAACTAGTTGGCGCTATCATAAAGTCACATAGCAGGCAGTCAAAAAGCATATAAATACCAAAACTCGGAAAATGCAATTTTGTTTGTTTACAAAAATTGCAACCATATGTTTTGTGATCATATGTTTTCGTGTTGGATAATTTTTTAGTCTGTTCCAATAGCAGTCCGGTTTACAGGCTTTAGTCAGAACTTACAGGAAGTCGTTCCTAGTTGACATAAACCTGTAAGTGGGAACACATTTGAGAGAGTAACTGAGCAACTGTTCCTAGTCAGAAGTTACAGGATTTAGTCCCGGAGTTTTTTTTCCTGTAAGTTCATCAAAAGTGTCAAACAGATCAGCTGATTACATGTGCAAACAAAAACCGAAAGCGGTGAAAGCAAAGATACCTTATATTTGTAAAAAAAATAGTAAGTAAACAACGAAATATTTGAATATGTATAGATTTTAATAATTATTTAGTGATATTTCAGCCAAATCAGTGTTGACCAATGACAGTAAACAAACCGATCTGACGTTTTTACAGGAAATAGTGCCTTTTGCGTTCCGTAGCACTTTGCATCTGTTCTTCCTTTTACTCTCATTTGAGAGAGTAAAATTGTAGTTTGACAGTTCCACAGGTTTTAGTCCGAAGTTCAAAGGAACAGACTATTTTGCTGACTAAAATTTTGCCAGTACAAAATGAACGCTTCTCTTGCATCAAAATGAACGCTAGCTCTCTCAATTTTTGTGTGTTGGATAATTTGTTGTCGTTATCGAACGCCATCCAGTAAAAATTTGGAAAAACTATTACAAATTTTTGACTTGTCGAACGCACCTATAGTCTCTTCCTTCGAACTTCGGACTAAAACCTGTGGAACTGTCAAACTACAATTTTACTCTCTCAAGTGAGAGTAAAGAAGAACAGATGCAAAAGTGCACGGGAACGCAAAAGGCACTATTTCCTGTAAAAACGTCAGTCGGTTTGTTTACGTCATTGGTACAACACTGATTTGGCTGAAATTCACTAAATAATTATTAAAATCTAGACATATTCAATCATTTCTTTGTTTACTTCTATTTTTTTTTACAAATATAAGGATCTTTGCTTTTCCCGCTTTCGGTTTTTGTTTGCACATGCGAATCAGCTGATTGTTTGACACTTTTGATGATCTTACAGGAAAAAAACTCGGGACTAAATCCTGTAACTTCTGACTAGGAACAGTTGCTCAGTTACCTCTCAAAAGTGTTCCCACTTACAGAGTTTATGTCACTAGGAACGACTTCCTGTAAGTTCTGACTAAAGGCCTGTATGCAGTTCTTAAGAAGAGCTAAAATTCCATACAAAATGACGTACAAGAAATGGCTAAGAAATTTTCTTAAGTCAAATTTCCTTCAGGCAGTACGCAGTTCTTAAGAAATTTGCTACGCTTTTTACTACGGGTTTCTAAAGATTTTTGTGAGAAAAGAGCACAAGGCAAACCAGGTTTGCAACAGAAATATATGCCCGTTCCATTATTACTTGAGGAAAGAGTGAGGAACCAGGCTGTGAAGTATCAAAAATGTCAAAATTCCTTGGACACACACGAAATAATGGCCAATTTTTCTTGACCGATTTCTTGAGAGCTGCATACCAGCCTTAAATCCTGTAAACCGGGCTGCTATTGGAACAGACTAATATCCAGTATAACAGTACGTCGATGTTCAGACACGAAAACTTTTGTTGCGGAAACTCGAAGCTTGTAGGGGAGAGAGCGACGGGGAAAGAGGACGGGTACCGAGTCGCCCGTACTCGGGAAATACGCTTTGTGCTCTCGTTCGCCTGAGTAATTCAAGTTGGCGATTCACAGCTGACAACAACAATTGCGTACAAAAGAGTATCTGTGTGTGAATGCAAAGGGCAATACCAAAAGAGAAATCGCCGATAATAAGAAACTCCAGTTTCCGTGTTTGAACGCCGACTACGCGAACAGAAAATTTGCAGAAACTTGCAGGTTATACGAACAGCGGATAGAATCTTTGTTTATATTCAAAAGTGTCAAATTTTAGTTTGTTCCAGTACACTATGACATAGAAAGAAATAGTAGGAGTATTCATCAAAAATGCTAAACTGCTGATAAATTTGATAAAAGGATACATTTATCATTGTTATAAATGAACTGTCAAACTTTCTATGGAAATCTATTTAACCACAGTTTATCACTTTATCAAACGATGTTGGTGGATAAATGCATAAATTTCATTAAAATTCCACCTTGGCAGTTTGCCAGGTGGTCGCTTTTGCAACGAACACATAAAAAGCAAATGAACACTTCAGACGAGTTAAGAATGAAACGTAACTAGCCATATAAGTTAAATAATAATAATCAATTTTATTCAATTGTTTACCAAGGTGCGTTTATGTAAGAATGCGGATAAACTGATAAATTCAAACAATTTATCCCATTATCCTTAGTATCAAATTACAGGAAGTTGTTCAAGTACGCACTTTTGACCGAGTAAGAGAGCAACTCTTCCCAGTCAGAAGTTACAGGATTTTGCTCGAAGTTTTTCTTTGTTACGCTTTATTTTCTAAAACAAATTATTTTTGGAACTACAATAAAAAAATTTTAAATTGAAATACATTTATAATGTTTGCATCTGGCAAATGGGTTAATGCAATGACAAAAATGTTGTCAAATAAGCGTATCGAAAATAAATATGTCAGATATTGATTTCGCTTTGTTTATTACACAATGGATTTATGTACATATGTATGGCTCATTCCATCTGAAATCACCCAGGCCGGGGGAAAGTGAATTTAAGTTTGCGATAAAACTCACAGGGTTTGTTCCTTGAACAATTTAAGGAGACACGTATTTTTTTTCTTTTTGCTCAGAAATGCGAATTTTTCGAATGATGATTTTTTTTCTTTTTGAGTACGACCGCTTCTTTTTTCATCTCTTAATAGCAACTTTTGATGAAATCGTTTATAACTGCCGCAAAAAAGAAAGGATTTTAACGATTTTTTTTTTTAAATTGCAGATATTGATCTACTGAATCGATCTAGTGAACTAAACATCAGTAATTGTTTATTAATAATTAATTATTGTTTATAAACAAAAAAAATTTTTTTTTTTTCAAATTGATTTTTTTCAAATTGCCACATCTTTTTTTTCTCTCAAACTTTTTTGTCTATTAGGGAATAGTAAAAACTATTTTCAGTACGAGTAGCAATATGCTAAAATTCGTCATTTTCGAGTGTTGATTTTTTTTCTGAAAATGCACTTATATGATGCTAGCAGATTTTCGTGTCAGTTGAGGGAAAATTGTTGCCCATTATGACAAAATTTCCTTGCTGGAAAGGAAAGTTTTTCCCAATTGGGCTCTAATTTTGACCCAATTGGGGCCCAATTAGCGATTTGCCCAATTTACCGAAGATTTCCCTAACCAGTGCTCACAATTTGCTCAAAGTGAACATGCATACGCAATTAAGAACTTTTTATCGATAAAATCACACATACACACCTCAAAATTCTCTACGAAGAAAAATATTTTTTAATTCTTTTCTTGAAAAATTTTCCACATATAGATTTTTTGATAAAAAAATAGTTTTTGAAAATATGCCATCTCAAAAAAAATTGGAAAAAATCACAATGGTAGCTCTGAGTATTGCGCAATATTTAAGTATAATGTTATGGGGTGCACTCTACAATAATTTGAGTTATGAATTTTTTTTTACACCGAAGTTGAGTAAAATGAGTACATTACCAATTTACAAATTTTTTAAACTTTTTTAGAATTTTTTTGAATATGCAGTTTTATAGCCCATTAAATTTTAGTATAATAAAGTGGAAGTTTTAAGCGATTGCAAAACTGCCGTAAATTTTTTTTTTTAATTTTCTTTGAAAACGGTTTTAGGCTTTTTCATCGATAAGGAAAAGTGCAAGAAGCCATGAGCATAAACAATATTAAAAATCAACGCAATATTGCAGTAGCTTAACACTTGCACTTTATTATACTCAAATTTAATGGGCTACAAAATTGCGTACTCAAAAAAATTCTAAACAAAATTTTATTTTATTTTTTAATTTGTAATGTACTCATTTTACTCAACTTCGGTGTAAAAAAAATTCATAACTCAAGTTATTTTAGAGTGTACCCCATAACATTATACTTAAATATTGCGCAATACTCAGAACTACCATTGTGATTTTTTCTAATGTTTTTTGAGATAGCATATTTTCAAAAACTATTTTTTTTTATCAAAAAATCTGTATGTGGAAAATTTTTCAAGAAAAAAATTAAAAAATATTTTTTTTCGTAGGGAATTTTGATGTGTGTATGTGTGATTTTATCGATAAAAACGTTTTAATTGCGTATGCATGTTCACTTTGAGCAAATTGTGAGCACTGGTTGGGGAAATCTTCGGTAATTTGGGCAAATCGCTAATTGGGCCCCAATTGGGTCAAAATTAGAGCCCAATTGGGTAAAACTTTTGGCTCTGATCGGGCAACCTCAAAAAATTTCCAGCAAGGAAATTTTGTCATAATGCGCAACAATTTTTGTGCCCTCAACGGGCACGAAAATTTTGCTAGCATCATATAAGTGCATTTTCAGAAAAAAAAATCATAACTCGAAAACGACGAATTTTAGCATATTGCTACTCGTACTGAAAATAGT